AGTAGGTTGACCAGTAATTGTTTCATTATTTATTTATTTTTTGATAAATATTTATTAATATTTGCTATTAGTTCTAAATAATCAATTACATAGTTATTTAAAATTAAATTTTAAGGTAAATAATACAATATTTTAAGAAAATAAATATATTCAGTGATTTCTCAAAAGAGTCCGCTAAATTAATTTTTTTTAAATTTTCAACACAATGTTTATAAATAATTAAATTAAACTAATAATAAAACCTGCCAATTATTTTTATATGCGTTTATAAATATACGAAATATACGTTTATTGTATATCTAACTTATGATTAATATTAAAAGTATTTTTAATGACAAAGAACTCCACATCATTTTTTTATTCTGTTGGAAATTAATATGAATATGTAAGTAATAAAATGTTAAAATTCTTAAAAAGTGTCACTAAAATTAAATTTTCTAAAATTTTCATACTATGTTTTATAATAATTAAATTAACTTAAAACTAATATTTACTAAAAACTTACCTATTATACGTGTATTAAAAATAAATGTATGTTCTACATTTAATATATGAGTAATATTAAATGTATTTTTGGTGACTTCAAACAATTTTTTATGTTTTTCTAATTCTGTTAGATATTCTTGTACTTCTTGCAGATTCACAACCAATTTATTAAAGCAATCATCAATAAAATTCTTTTCGAAGTATGCATTTAACACATACATTTCAATTTTGTTATTATAAAAAAATGATTCTAATGAATTTTTGAAATCGATAGATGATAATGTAAGATCTGTTTTATTTTTGTGAATAAAATGACTAAGGCATGTCGATGTTTTTTTTGATAATGTAAAAAAAAAATTTGTTGGACCGTCACCAAAGAGGTTCATATTGACAAAATTTTGAAAACATTCAATTATTATTTTACCAACAGAAATAATATTTTCATAGAATTTCGACGATTCTTCTTGGTCACTATCAAAATCATAAACATAAGTTGATGAACTAAGAGTTAAGGTAAAGAGTCTTAAAAGTAAAGCAATAGGACGAAATGTTGCAGTTAGTATTAGTGTATGAAATATTCGTATTTCTTTTCTGTAACATGTATATTTGACAAATCTAAAAATATCAAAAAGGGTCAAACGACTATTACCAGGGCAAGTTATGGAAAGTCGTGCAAATCGGATCATATCTAAAACATATTTTTTTCTTCCATTTATTAACATTGGATATTGTTTATCTTGAGAACTTATTATTATATCTATTTCGGGAATTTTGCGATTACTCATCATAAAGTCATAAAATACTATATTTTTCGGTAAAAATTCCCAGTATTTAGACCTTTTAAAAGCTTTTTGAAAAATATTATACACACTACTAAATTTTAAATTTATAAAATTATCGTCGTTTTCGTTTAGTTCCTTATCAATTTGTAATAATCGGTTTTTAAGTTTTTTTGCGACATATTGAAAATTCTCGGGAGTATATTCTCCTGATTCGTTGTAATCAGGACAATAAATAAATGATTCGTCATATATCACACTTTGGCACCATTTAGATAATAAAATATTCTCAAACTGATCTGAGAAGTAATCATGAAATATCATGTAACCTTTAAGAATACTTAAAATTTGATCAGACATATTATATATTCCGTTATTATTACTAGCATAAAAATATACATACTCGGATACGTTATTTAAGTATAAATTTAATGACATCAATTCCTTCGAATATAATTTTTTATCAGCTTCCCTTAAAACATCTAACATTACTAGTACGAGTTCGCCATGAGTTTTTATTGCGTCGCCATATTTGCATAAACTATGCACGTCATACAATTCTATGTTCTCACTGATTTCATTTAAATATTGTTTGTTATGATTAAAGTAATTTAACCAATACTTCGAAAAATTACACTGCAAATTATTAAAGGATAATCCAAGCGTTAAATTAATGTTTATTAATGATATAATTTTTATTAGAATCATTTTTTGTCTTATTAAAATAAAATATTAATATTCAAGAGCTACTTATACTATAACTTAATGTAGAAGTATTTACAAGTTGTACTTTTACAACCTATTATATTTTTTATTTTAGTTTTTAACATTTGATAAATAGTGTTACATTTATTCAGGTGTTTTTGAATTCGTGCATAAATATATAACTATTATTTTAAATATTTTTCAGTGCTTTAATAAATTTAAATTTTTGTATATACATTATTATTATATCGGGAAATTTTTTGGCATATATATTAGTGCTGATCAATAAAATTCGATCACCGAAATTTCACTACTAACAGTTTTTACTTTGTTATATACATTGAAATAAGCATTTTGTGAACATTTGAGTTTTAGCTTCGATGCGAAGTTAAGAAGGTATTAATTTTACTATGATATGTTTTTTTTTTTTGTGACTGGGAACGCTCAATCTCAGCTCTTGTTGGACCGATTTTGATGAACAATATGTCAAAAGATCAAATATCGTATCTAGTCAAAGACATTACCCTCAAAAATTGAAAAAAATTCCCTCGTTCCC